ATCTCTACACCCAATGTAGGGGCTCAAACTCATGACCCCAAGATCAAGAGTCCTATACTCTATCAATTGAGCTAGCCAGGCACCCTGATCAAGGAACAATTCTTCATCCAAAATTCTTAGAGTAAAAACTTTCATATAGTAAATCAAATAACAAAAGATATTTAATAAATAAAACAAATTAAAATTCCCACAATAATCTACAATAGAAGTTCATAAAGATTTTGCTTAGATTTTCCAGACTGGTTATGCTTCAGAGACATCAAATTACATGGTAATATTTGGAAAAACCACCCCATAATATAGGCTTTTTATAAACACTTCCTTTTCCACCAGGGGCACCTGGGTGGTTTAGTCAGTTGAGCGGCCAACTTCAGCTCTGGTCATGATCTCATAGTTTGTGAGTTCAAGCCCCACATCGGGCTCACTGTTGTCAGCAAAGAGCCAGCTTCGGATCCTCTATCCCCCTCTCTGCCCCTCCCCAACTTGTGTGCTCTCTCTGTCTCAAAAATAAATAAACATTATGGGCGCCTGGGTAGCTGGGACAGTTCAGTGTCCAACTTCAGCTCAGGTCATGATCTCGCAGTTCTTGAATTTGAGCCCTGTGTCAGGCTTTGTGCTGACAGCTCAGAGCCTGGAGCCTGCTTTAGATTCTGTGTCTTCCTCTCTCTCTGCCCCTCCCCTGCTCACACTCTGTCTCTCTCTCTCTCTCTCTCAAAGATAAATAAACATTAAAAAAAGAAAAAAAATAGTTTATTAAAAAAAAACAACTTCCTTTTCCATTATAGAATTTAGTAATAACAACAGGACTAGTTCTGCCTCTTTAAACTACCACTTATAATTAGGAAACCATAAACCTCTAGAAAGTCTTTCTTAATATTATTTCTAATGGTGTCAACTCTCATTAGTTTAGGTAATAGTTGGGAAAGGTATCTTGAATAATCCTAAATAATGACCAAAACAAAACTAAATCAGCATGAGTACCAAAAGGAATATAAACCTACAAGGCTTAACTTACATTCAGTTTTCAAGAATACAGTTATGATTCTAAAGACATCTCAGAAACACAATACAAAGTTTCATAACATTAAAGATCACATGTATTATACTGCTAATCAGTCGGTATCTCCTAGTACTGTTCAGATTTTAACTGTGCTCTCTCAAAAATACTGAAAAGGTAAATAAAGTGAGCAGAGATTTGGTTTCAGCTCCAAGTTCCCATCTCTCTCTCTCTCTCACCTAATTACCCTCAATGCCCTAACAATTCCTTACTGGAATCTGTATGACTAGAGCCACACCCAATCCTTACCTTTCCTCCTGCTTTCCCTGTGGCTTGGCAGGCAGTCACTATTAGGAGGCAGGGAGGGAAGACAGTAGGACAAAGGAAGCATATGGAGGAGGGACACAGGAGGAGGTACTATAACTCAGGTAATAGTAGAGAAGCTGTCCCCAGCTTGTCGCATGTATGGACTACTACTTAGTGCCAAAAGGTAAATGTCTTAGAAGATACAGAACAAAGCCATTAAAAGCATGGAATCAGTAGCCAGACTCCCAGGGTTCAATACTGGCAGGGCTGGGGCACCTGGGTGGCTCAGTCGGTTGAGCGTCTGACTTCGGCTCAGGTCATGATCTCGCAGTTCATGAGTTTCAGCCCCGCGCTGGGCTCTGTGCTGACAGCTCAGAGCCTGGAGCCTGCTTCAGATTCTGTGTCTCCCTCTCTCTCTGCCCCTCTCCTGCTCATGCTCTGTCTCTCAAAAAATGAATAAACGTTAAAAAAAAAACAAATACTACTTCTCCCGCGTATGACTTCTACAATCTTAGGCCAATTTCTTAATCTCTATGTACCTCAGTTTCCTCATTTATCAATTAAGGATATTACACTACCCCATTGTTTGTTATGAGGATTAAGTCAGTTATGGTTGTAAAAGAACTTAGAATAGCACTTGGTATATATAGTAAGTGCTACATAAGTGTTTGTTAAATGAATATATAAAGACATGTATATCTTGGGGCACCTGGGTGACTCAGTTAAGCCAGTTAAGCATCTGACTCTTGGTTTTTGTCTCAGGTCATGATCTCAGTTTGTGAGTTCAAGCCCCACATTGGGCTCTGTGCTGACAGTGCAGAGCCTGCTTGGGATTCTCTCTCTCCTTCTCTCTACCCCTCCCTGCTCACCCTCTCCATCTCTCTCTCAAAAATAAATAAACTTAAAAAAAAATAAAAATAAATAGTCATGTATCTTTGACTTTGTATGAGTTTCAGTATTTTGCCATTATTTTGATATAGATTAACCAATGCACATGGACTATACTTTGATGAAGAACAGAAAACTATTTCATACCTCTACTTTGGATGCCAAAAACACACATGTAGGAGCCATTAATACAGGATCTATACTTTTCAGAGAATACCTAAAAATATGATAAGATAGAGTTAAATGTCATTCATATAAAAACACACTGGAGGGGCACCTGGGTGGCTCAGTTGGTTAAGCGTCTGACTTCAGCTCAGGTCATGATCTCACGGTTCATGAGTTTGAGCCCTGATTCAGGCTCCGTGCTGACAGCTCAGAGCCTGGAGCCTGCTTCAGATTCCCTCTGTCTCTGCCCCTCCCCCATTTGTACTCTCTCTCTCTCAAAAATAAACAAACATTTTTTTTTTTTTAATTTTTTTTTTTTTTCAACGTTTATTTATTTTTGGGACAGAGAGAGACACAGCATGAATGGGGGAGTGGCAGAGAGAGAGGGAGACACAGAATCGGAAACAGGCTCCAGGCTCTGAGCCATCAGCCCAGAGCCCGACGCGGGGCTCGAACTCACGGAGCGCGAGATCGTGACCTGGCTGAAGTCGGACGCTTAACCGACTGCGCCACCCAGGCGCCCCAAATAAACAAACATTTTTAAAAAATTAACAAAAAAACACACTGGAAAAAAATGAAGATAACTCTACGATAAACACATGATTTAGTTACACTAAGGTTCATCAACATTACATAAGAGTTTCAAATAGGTATAACATATTCCCAAAATAAAAGTCCTACCTGGCATAGAATCTCTTGAAATAGACTGTAGCAGTGGCAATAACTTGTTGTCTTAATTTAAGATGTTCACCTAATGCTTGAATAACTGGAAGAAAAATAAAGTTTTAAATGTATCTTCTGATATCATAATATTGACATCGAATAATAACTTCCATGTGATTAAATCATGACTATATTAATTTTTAACAAAAAGAAAAACCTACATATGCTATAAAACTCTATTTGGATCACAATGGACTAGTACTAGGATTTGCAAATCTGTTAAAAAATATATAGGTATGCATAAAAACAATAAAAAATAGAAATTGCCCCAGAGCAAACACTATTCTTACATTAAGAAGGCTAAATGACAGGTATTTCCCTCTGAATGATAGGTATCTCAATGCTTTTCATAGTATCTTTAGAATATAAAAAGAAAACATTAAACAGCTATCAAACTCACTATAACTACCACTTTATAAAGTTTATTAAAAAGTCCATAATGAATCCTTAAAAGAACAGAGACAGGTTTGCAGAACAGTGCACTGAGGGTTAGAAAAATCATGTAACAAAGCTACCATGTGACAGAGCAAGGATCTTCTGACTCTAAATCCCCTTCCCTCCAAAGCAAACTTGTAAGATAAGAATGACCAATATAGGATCTCAATCCAGACTCCATTTATCCCCAAAATATTTGCTTTAGCCAATCCTAAATTGGGCTTAATAATGCATTATAAAGACTTAGGGCAATCAATGAACACTTTCAAACTGTTTTGAGTATCTCTGATATGTAAGTTTCACAAGACTTTATTTAGATCACTTAAAAAGAAAGATAAGTGAATATAAGTTATAAAAAGAATACATGTATAAATAAAAATTTTAAGTACAGGGTGCCTGGTGGCTCAGTGGGTTAAGCATCCGACCTCGGCTTGGGTCATGATCTCACTGTTCGTGAGTTCAGGCCCCACATCGGGCTCTGTGCTGACAGCTCGGAGCCTGGAGCCTGCTTCAGATTCTGTGTCTCCTTCTGTCTCTGTTCCTCCCCTGCTTGTACTCTTGTCTCTCTCTCTCTCTCTGTCTCTCAAAAATAGAGATTAAAAAAATGTTTTAAAAATTAAAAAAAAGTAGAAATGTTAAGTATGGACTAAAACAACTCATCACAAATTACTATACAAAAGTTTGAATTCAGAAGTGACCAACTATACTATTTCAGTCATTTTTTTTTAAATGTTTACCATTTGTAAAAAATATTTGTAATTTCCAATACTCTTCTTCTGAGAGAAACTTTAAGTCCTTCTGGCGTTCCTTCAACAGATCTTGTTTATCCAAAATCCATTGCAAACTAAAAGAAACAAAGATGTTAAAACACGCTACAGAGAATCAACTAATAAAGTCACAAAAAAACATTCTAAGATTGAACAAGTTATAAACATTCTGAGAAATACAAAGTGCAAGAAGTAACTCAGAAGATAGTATTTTTCACATTTCTTGAAATTCCAACACTGAGAATTATCTCATTGGGGCACCTGGGTGGCTCAGTTGGTTAAGCATTTGACTCCTGATTTGGGCTCAGGTCATGAGCTCATGGTTTGTGGGTGAACCCTGAAACAGGCTCTGTGCTGACAGTTCGGAGCCTGCTTAAGATTCTCTCTCTCTCTCCCCCTCTCTCTCTGCCCCTCCCATGATCTCTAGCTCTCTTTCTCCCCCACTGAAAATAAATTAAAGAAAAGAGAATTATCTCACTAATGAATGTAAATATGTTCTGAAAAAAATTCCACTCTAATTTTCTCAGTCTCTCTCATTCTCTCTCTACCGTATACTACATTTCATTGGTTTTAAGACTCTGATATCAAAAGAGATCTTACAGTCAGTGATGCCTTAGGCTTTTAACTGCTAGTACATTTATTTTTTCTTAGTGATACATAAAATAATGGTCAAGTTATTTGACACCAAATGATGATACCTTAGATTTGAAGTATCTTTTCTCAGTTGTTCATGAGTAACTGGAGTATTTAATTTCCCTACTTCACAAATTCCAATCATGTTAAAAGCTGTTTCAGGATTTATTACACTAATAGCCTCCTCCATCTGCCTAGTCAAGTCTACTATTTTTAACCAGACATATGAAATTGATATGACCCATAAAACTATTCTGCAACTTGCTTTTGTCATTCAGTATGTACTGAAAGTCTTTTTATGTCAACAGATTTGTTATTCAGCATCCTTTTAAATTGCTGCACAACTTTATGGATGTATTATTATTTATTAATTCCTATTAATAGGCAGATAGGTTATAATTTTTCACTATTAAAAATAATGTTTTAATGACTAGCTTTGTAATTCACCCTGTATATTTAGTTAATATTTAAAATAGTTTCCTAGAAATAGAACTAATTGGTCAGTTTTACTGATAACTTTGTTATACATTGGCAGTTTGCAGTCCATATGTGACACCAATTTCCATTCCCATGAAAAGTACATGACGGTGGGTGCCTGAGTGGGTCAGTTGGCTGATCATCTGACTTCAGCCTAGGTCAGGATCTCAGGACTCCTGAGTTCAAGCCCCATGTCGGCACAGAGCCTGCTTGGAATTCTCGGTCTTCTTCTCTCCCTGCCCCCCCCCCCCCATGAGTTACTGCCAAGCTTTTAAATACTTTACAACTGAAAGAACTGAAAGGCAAAGTAGTATCTTACTGTTTGGCTGGGGGGAGAGGGGGGTCGGAATGGGGGTTGTTTGTTTTTAGTTTACTTCTGAGGTTAAACATTTTCCAGGGCCTATTGGCCAAATATAGTCCTTCTTTTGTATACTGTAATTCTTTTCTTTTTTTAAGTTTATTTTTTATTTATTTTGAAAGGGAGATAGAGAGCAAGCAGGGGAGGGGCAGAGAGACAGGGAGACAGAATCTCAAGGAGGCTCTAAGCTGCCAGCACAAAGCTTGACACAGGGATTGAAATCAGGAACTGTGAGGTCATGATCTGAGTCAAAGACAAGAGTTGGACTCTTAACCCAACTGAGCCAGGCGCCCCTGTACATTGTAATCCTAATATGACAATTTTTCTAATGGGATGGTCTTTTTCACAGAGATTTTTCTCATATAATTTGCATATTATAGATAATAAATCATTTGTCAAATACACTAAACATTTCCCAAGTTTAGCATGATCTCTTAATATTTGTTTGTAATACAGAAATATGGATCACTTATTAAAACCAACCCATATTTTACTTTGATTTTATGTTTGTCACAAATGAAAAGGCCTCTCCTGACACAAAATGATTAAAAAAAAAAAAATCACCCGTATTTTCTAATATGGCTTTTTTCTTTCAATTTGTGATCCACCTGGAATATATTTTGTACAAGGTAGAAAACAGGGATCCAGCTAAATGTTTTGTCAAATGGTTACTCAAATGTTGACTAAAGTATTTCTTGATGTATAATTCTACTATTGTATTTGGGATCATCTTTGTAATTTCCTTTTTTTCTTTTCTTATTCCTATGCCATGCTATTTTAAAACATAAAACTAAACAATTAAAATCTGGTACAGAAAATACTCCCCTGCTACTATTCTTCAGAAAATTGCTTGATATTCTATTACAATTATTATTCTGAGACCTGAACTTTTAAAAACATTGTTATCAAGTCCCAAAAGGAACTTTTAAAGGAAATCCATTCAAAATTGTTTGGGCTTGCATTAATGAGATCAATAGTGGAAGAAATGCTATTTTTACAAGGTTAGAATTCAAACTCCATTTATTAAAATCTTTGTTCCACTACAAAATTTAAAAATCTCTTCCTATAGGTCCTGTACGTTTGTTTACTCCTGTGTATTTCATATTTTCTGTTGCTACTGTAATTATATTTTTATATCATTCATTTATTTTTAAAATATGTTTATTTTAATGTTTATTTCTGAGAATGCAAAGGGGAGGGGCAGAAAGAGGGGGACAGAGGATCTGAAGGCAACTCTCTGCAGAGAGCTGACAGGTTGACAGCAGTGAGTCTGATGTGGGGCTCGAACTCAGGAACCCCAAAATCATGACCTGAGCTGAAGTTGGGTGCTCTACCTACTGAGCCACGTTCCCCCATCATTTATCTAAAAGAAAGCTTTCCATTTTTACATTATGTAACTGGTTACCTCATTAAACCTTTATTTATAATAATTTCTCAATTAACTGAAGTTTCTTAAATTTTATTGCTATATACTGGTAATTTTGTCATTTTTTACATCTCATTCTATTAACTGCATTGAGTAGCATTTTCAGAACAATGTTAAACAGGCCCCCTAATTTTCCTGTTTTACCATATCTCTTGTTGATGCTTTGATGTTCTTACCCTGTTAAGAAAGCATACTATTTGTTTTGGTCAAGAACAGATGTTGAATTTTAAAAGAGGTCTTGACGCTTTCACTGTTTATTAACAGATTTCCAAATGTTGACTATATTTCTATAGTAAAATCATTATCATTTTTTATATTTCTAATGTAATGTTAGACTCTACTTGGGAATACTTTATGATGTTTGCATCGATATTCAAAAGTCAGACTGTTTTTAGTGCTACCTTTGCTAGATTTTATCAGTGTTATTGTAACTTCACATAAAAAGAACTGGAAAGCTTTCTGTGTGAACTGGAATAATTTCAATAGCAGATCTTCTTGAAAATGGGAAAACATTTACCCATGAAATAACGTGGGCCTGGAGCATTTTTTAAGGAGTAGCTCTCTGGTAACTTTCTTAATTTGTTTTGGCTTTCAAACTTATTCCCATGGAGATAACCCAAAGGTACATCTGAATTTATTTACTTTTCTCATTCCTAATTTTGTATTTTTGTATCATATCTTTTTCCCTTGCTTCAACTAGTAGCAGTTTAGTCTACTGTTTTGATTTTCCCTTCTAAGGAACCAACTCTTATAATTTCTGACTACTTTTTTCCTTTCAAGATGTTAATATCGGGGGCGTCTGGACGGCTCAGTTGGCTAAGCATCTGACTTTGGTTCAGGTCATGATCTAGCAGTTTGTGGGTTTGAGCCTCGCATCAGGTTCACTGCTGTCAGCACAGAGCCTGCTTGGGATCCTCTGTCCCCTTCTCTCTCTGCCACTCCCCTGTGCGCTCTCTCTCAAAATTAAATAAATATAAAAAAAAAAATGTTAATATCGGTATTACCTTTAAGTCTTTCCTTTTTTCCCCTCGGATTTATTTCACTGTTTCCTTTTTAATATTCTTAAGTAGAATATTTCGATTTATTTTTATTCTTTCTCAGTTTTTCAGGATGTTAGTTTATAACTTTGACTTTGGCTACATCCCAAAAGTATGGACATATATTGATGTCATTAAGTTATTTCCTTGATATTATGTAACTGTATTTTCAGTTTCCTCTGATACAATAACATCCAGAATTGATTTTGTACTTTTGTATTTCTGTTATCTGTTCATTAATTCATTCAGTCAACCAGCTAATATTTAGTGCCATTCTCCTTTTTTTTTTTTTT